AGCCGCCATGATGGCGGCCGGGTGTCTCCGCAGGGAACGGGCCCAGCGTTGTGGTCCCGGGAGGTCAGCACGGGCCAAAAGCTGTAGGTGTTGCCCGAAGTGTGGCCTCAGCGCGGGCGAACCCCCTCAGGCGGGTGTGCGGGGCCAGGTGGCACGAGGAGCCCTGCGTGGCTTTGAAGGCAGCCGTTCAGTGGCGTGCGTTGCAAGGTACCAGTGAGTTTGGGCAGGTGCAGGCAGCAGGTTGGCGAGCAGGCAGCCCCAAAAGCATAATATTCCTATTCCCGTCAACCTGTTTTCCCCCTAAGGCCGGATTTCCTGCCTGCCAAAAACGAGCCCGTAGTGGGGCCAAGCTGCTGCGGGGTTTGTTCGGCGCTGGGGCTCTGAGCTGTCCCTTCGCCCGCTTCCTGGCTCGGAAATCTCCCCCGTGCAAAACCAGCCGGCTTTTGGGGGGAAAAAGGGTTTTGGGGCTTTTTCCCTTCCTCCTTTCGCTGGAGCTTCGTGGGTGAGGGCCACCCGCCAGCCTGTCGCCACTAGATGGCAATCTGCGACCGCCGCGGGTGGCTCCCTGGGTGCTGGGGGTGCCCTGGGCACCCAGGGATGGCGTTTCAGGGCAGAGCAGACGCATCCCATCGTCTGTCAATGATCAATGACAGGACGTCGCTGCTGCTCCTCGCCTCCATGGCTCCAATTTCCTAAGCTGTGCTGGGGGCTTTTATAACCATTAAGAGCTTTTTTAGTAACTTTGAAACGTTTTGCCTCGCAGCGTCCTGCGGCAGGGAGTCCCCCGAGTGACCGGCAGTACCGATAGTCAAACCACCGGAGGAGGAGATGACGGAAGAGCCACCTGTGTTTGCATGCGTCCCCGACGCTGCAGGTGTGTTAATGCAAGTCACGAGTTGTTGGGGGACAAACGGGGACGAGCTGACCTCGGAGCTGGAGCAAGCAACACGAGCCGGGTGGTGTGTGGTAGCTATAAACAGCGCTCACCCTGAACGGGCGCCTGGCTGTTGTTTGTACACATGGGGAGATGGAGCCAGGCCCTCGGGGGGGGGCGGGGGGAGATTTGGGGGAGCATTTGGGCCCCCAAAAAGAAGCCTCTGGGTTTGGCAGCCAGGCTGGGACCGTCGTCCCGGCTCATCCCGCTGCCCAGGGCTTCCCCAAGGGCGATGGGTGCGGGTGGGCGAGGGGAGGAGGAGGAGGATTTGGTGACCTTCCAGGTGGGCCAGCGGCCGAACGGCTGAGGGAATGGCTCAGAAATAGAGCGGCGGGGAAGAAATGAGTCACCCCGGGCTGGAAATAAACGGGGCCGCGGGCGCGGAGGGGAGCCGGGGCGGCTCCTCGCCCGTGTTTTCGTCGGGAAGGAGGAATCGCTCACGGTACCCCTTACTGAGACACTCCTCGGGGCTGAACCCGCAGCCCTTTTGGGGGAAAAGCATCAAGAAAACATTAAAAAACAGAGGAGGCAGCAGACAGGCGTTCTCAATAATTTATCACAAGCTGTATATACAGAGACAAGCTCCGGCGGAGGGTCGGGGAAGGGAACCTTGCTCCTCGCTCCCGGCGGGGCTCTCGGAACGCCGGATCTTCCCCATCAACCCTCGCCGGCTAAAAACTGCCAGAGCCGGGACTCCCCTCCGGAATTTCTCTGGTGGGCGACGGGATGTGTCTCACCACCCCGGCCCCTCGGTGACCCCGCGGGGGAGCGTTCCCGTCCCCTACCCCACGTCCCACCTCCTTCCCAAATTACCCAAATAATTAACGAGGGGGGCGGGCGGGGAGAGGGACCCCCCGACCCCTCAGATCTTGATCTCAGTCCGGAAGGTTTGCTGGACGTGGTCGGCGTGCTTGGCGGGCTGTCGCTGAGCCCGGACGGTCAAGGTGCCGGCGTCCCCCCGCGAGGACGACACCGACGTGGGGTCCACATCTTCGGGCAGCTGGCATTTGTGGGTGAAGGTGTTCATGACGGTGCCGTCCGCCGCCAGCTGGGAAAAAATAACGGGTGAAAAGGGGCGATTTTGGGGTGCAGGCGGGACGGGGGCTCTTTGTTCCCTGCCCTTGGGTGAGGCTGGCGGTCGCGCCTTGTGTGTGGCGTTAATAGTTATCTCCCCGAGGGGACGGGCGGGATGCGGGTGGCAGCGGGGGTGGGGGGGACACGCAAAAGTGCTTTTTTCGGTTTCCACTCCCCCCCCCGGAGAGGGGTGATTACAGGGCACGAGTTTGTTGGGTCTCGTGGGCTTCGCTCCTGCAAAATATGGGGCGAAAAGGTGAGGAAACGGTGAATTAAACCCCGTCAGGGTTATGGCCGGGGCCGTTAGGAAGTTGGGTGGGAGTTGGGGAGGGTCCCCCGGTTGAGGATTTTGGGGTCCCACAGACTTTGGGGGTGAGCAGGGAAGGGAGGGAGCACCCACCTTCTCGGCGTGCACCTCGATCTGGTTGTTGGAGGTGGTGACGATGATGTCCTCGGGGGCGAAGTCGCTGACGTCCACCGTGAACTGATAGGTGTTCCCCAAGGTCTTCACCGTGCCCGTGTTGCCGGGCCGAGCTGCTGGAGAGTTGGGGGGTGTGTGTGTGTGTGTGTGTCCCAGCCACGGTTCGGTGGGGGTCCCCCCTAAACGCCTCTCGGGGTCACAGCCACGTTTCGGTGGGGGTCCCCCCCAAAACACCTCTCCCACGGCTCTGACTCTTGCCCAAACTCTCCGGGACAGGGATGTGCCAGCGCGGGGGGAGAGGAGGCATTGCCAACCCCCCCCCTTCCC